TGGCCATTTATGCCTTTTACGGTGCAATCGAAGGGAATGCAACTGTGCATTTTACGTACATGTTGTCTGTCTGCATCCCGGTTAACTGATGTCACAAGACAGGGATGAATAACCTTTCATGCCAGTATTGAAATTCATGATTGTAAAGAAATGCGTCGCAATGAAGGCGAGCAGAACCATCGAAGTTCAACACGCTGTATAAATCACTAGGTTGTGTGCGTGCATGTGTGTGTTTGATTAGTAAAACATTCAGAGTGAGAATTTCACCTGCGTTGGGCTCTTCGATCAAGTGTCCTCTCTACACTTTGTCCTGAGCCGTTTCCATTTCAGCCGGAGACAATTCCCGTTTGGTGTTCACATTCCTTTTTCCACGTGGAACAAGCGGATTTTTAGCTGCTCACACACCTCTTTGTTGCTCTGATCCGTTCTATGGCTGTGCAGCATTAATCAAATGTGCATTTCACCCGAGGATTGTTTATAAACGTCCTCCTCCCCAGTGAATTTGACGTACTTGATTGATCCAACGGGCTAGGGGTGTGCCAATTCAGTCGAATGAGGTGAACAAAACGATAATTTGATTAAAGATATTCCTTGGGTGTACTATGCTGCAGACGTGAAATATACATGTGTTTATACGACATTGCCTAAATCTAGTATGAGGATAAAGCATTAGTGATGGAGACTTGACTGGTTATTGAACGTGCGTCGAAGCTCATCCTTTTGTCTGTAAACATGAGGCTGAATGATGAGCGACCGATGTGTGTTTTGTCATTGAAGAGAATATCATTCCCAGTCAAGGGGACTGTGTGCACGTTTTCATTATGTTTTGCAAATCATAAACTGTTCACCATATATCAATACCAAAGAAGGATTGTACCCATTGATTAAACTAGAACAAACCCTTCATCCATGTCGTCAAATTACGAAAGTATCAAGCTCAAAATATGACTAGTTTTTGTCATGGAACCTGTTGAGTTTTTAGCACATAGTAAGCTATGGAATGTGAAATTGTAGTTCAGTATTCTTGAGAATCTACTGTAGTATGTATGCGAGGTCAACAGTTCAAATGAAATCCATCAACTATTGTGACGGGGGACAGGGGGTGGGGGGATGTGGACCGAAGGTGTAACAGAAGTCTTTTTCGATGGTACAATTCTAACAGATGGCCTGTGAGTTTGTGTCGTGAATGTGTTTTATGCACATGACAGACTGTTTGCATCCAAATTGATGCACACTGTTTTCGACTGTACTTGGCGAATATCAGCGTGAAAGATAATCCTCAACGGGGATCACACACATACTACTTATGTATAGTGTAGCATCTGTCGCAAACACTTCAATGATTGATCAGTTAGGTGAAGCTTTCAGCGATTGTCCACCCAGGTACAACGCGAGTTGCTGTTGTGAGCCACCGGAATGAACGTTTTTTATGATTCAACAAACCAACATTCTAGGAAAACGTATGTGCTCTCGAACAGCGAACGGGAAAAGCAGCATCAGCACATCTATGATAGAACCTTTCGAATAAAATCAAGCAGTTGGAATGTAACGAACGTGAGTAGTAGTGCATAATAAATGAGGTGCTTAAATCCAATATTCGAATGTATTGTGTTCATATTACAATAAACAGTGGGTGAAAAAACTAATCCCGTTATAAACTAAGATAATGGATTATTGTCGAGTACGTTTTGCAATGTGGTTTCGACGAGTTAGAATTTTCGAATTCAAGCCTGCGTAGAAAAGTGGGCTGTCGTCACACCGTTGCACACCATTCGGATTATCAGGTGCTCGTCTGCAATTCCTTCTTTGCCTTCAGAAGTTAATAAAAATACACATCTGAAGTACGGCGATCAACTGCTCACAGACAGTTTTGAGACAAAAACGAATTCATTTGTCACTTGTTCTGCAAACCCCTAAATTCATGAGAAAGAATCAACTTAGGTGAATCTATGCAATTGAAAGTACAAATGAGCCCTCTAGAAAACATAGCATTTTCGTTGTAACTCTGCTGTTTGTTGCTAATTGTGGCTGGTTAGTGCAAAATAAACTTTTACTCAAGTACAGTGATTTTTATTTGGTAGAATTAAATTTCACGTTCTCAGTTTACATTCGGAGTACTAACTAGTTTGGAAAATATTCCGTGAGTTTGATTCAATAATAATAACTATTTAATTTCCGAATACGAACTCATTGTCCCTCGTGATTTACGAGCGTGGCTCCCACTGTAGTATGTTTTCATTCGCACCGAGCACTTTCCACAGGAGATTGTGAACTTTCCTAAATCGAAGTATGAATGACGCAACATGTTTGCGGTAGTTGATGCAAAACCATATGAACGTTTTGTGGTTACCTGGAACAAGTTCTCTTGTACCTCAAAACAGATAATCCCCACCTATACATTGTTTGAATTTCTCTACTTATGATTACATCTGTAGCTAGGTAGTTGGAGATGCTCAGTGGGTGCTTGATCACATAGCTTGTACCTCCTCGTTTGATGCAGGTTTGACACGTGTATGTGGAGACCTGAATGAGCCTGTAACAAGTGGCATTTACTAATTTTTGGCCAGGTTAATGGGCAAGAAGAACAGTGCATGGTTGTTACGAATGACAGGACAAGAGCGAGGTTTTTTGGGCACGCATTCTTTAAGTAAATATGGGGGGCTTGGGTGATTGACGTGTATGGATCACATTTTGGTGCATACTCATCTGTGTTTATCAGTGAGCGAACTTGACAGAGAAACACAACATAACTGCCATGAAGTTCGAATACATTTATTTATCGATTTGTGAATATATTTCATTATCAGTTAATAGTGGATGTACAGTGAACACCGTCTCTGATGTCAACGACGGAAGTTATAATATTAGCATTTTAGACGTTTGTTTCGACAGTAATTTTCGAATTTTAATTGAACGGAATATAGCCAGAAAGCAACCAAGAAAACTTCAATGCGTGTCTCATATGAAACCAGTTATTAAGCACGTCATAGGAAGGATAAACGGGCAAGAAATAACTCATTTCAATGAATTGCCTATTTATCCCAACTGTGCTGTTTGTTAAACGTTTGGTTTGGTTGAGTAGACGAATGAGAGCAATCAAATGTACAAAACTTCCGTCCTATTGCGCTTTTAGAGTTGATCTGTCTGACAATGTGTTTGCGAATTGTTTGTGATTTGAATGTTTTGTTTTTATTTTAGTTACTCTGAAATTTTGCGCAAAGCAGTTCAAATTTTAAAAATTAAGTGAACGGAATGCAACTGATAAAGGATTATTGTCTCTCTCTCTCTCTCACACACATTGTTCTTCATTTTATTGATCTGTTTAAGTTTTTGCAGAAAAATAATGTACAGGAGTTGTCTATGAAAATTAATTTGGTCATAGTTTCAGTTTCCGGGTTTACAACCAATAATCATGCATCTTCGTGGGTCGGTCTTGGGTACTATCTGATGACCCTGCTCATGTAGATAAAGAGCGTAAGAAAGAATGGAATGTTGCCAGGACAGTCAAAGTTTCGTCAAGTCAAAAATCCCAGTTAGACCTCCAACGTTAAAAATCAATGGGAACAACCTATCTGCGCAGTAAGCTTTATAGCTTGTAGGATAACCTTTTTCCCTGGAAACTTTCATTTCAGATGGAGGACTGAGATCAACTGGCAGGGGTTGATAAGCCTTATATCAATGGGGGATAGTTAAACTGGGTCTCGAAATGTTCAGTCCATTGTGCAATACTGACTGTGAATTGGTGTGCCCTCAGACTCTCTAACTACCTCATGCCTATTTTCCTTGGGTCCGTATTCCTAATTAGACGGAAAAGATTGCAACTATTACCGATAGCCTCAGTTTTTTCCATCTCTCTACACTTTTCCACTCATAAATTATCGCGGTAGTTCCTCAAACTCTGAGGGATTTGCGAGCTGTGTCCTATTAGGTATCAGGAAGGATATTTCTGTCCAGAAAGGCAGCTAAGATCGGTGATATCCACCGTTGTTTTGACTGATATTTGGATAGCGTCCTTGGTTAAAGTTCAGTGTTCATGAATTCCTCCGGTGCTTGGTTGAACTGAGTGGCAATCGGAGAGTTGGTACATGCTACGTAGACCGAAAGCAGCCAGTTTTACTGTGTTGGTCTTCCAAATGCGGAACAATCAGTTTTCGTTGATTTGGTCAAAACTGACTCACGTTCATGCCATAATGTGCTGTTTAATATCTGATCCATTTGATTTAATGAGACAAGAATGTCGATTTCGGGTTTCGCGTCTTTCATGGCCAGTGCTAAAATGATTATTTGAAATGTAATTGAGAGTAAATTGCAAAGTGTTCCGAATTTAAAGTTGGCTTTATGATTTCCCTGGATGAATCATAGTTGAATGTTTGATTGGGCGTCTATTACAATAGGTCATGTGTAGCAAACCACCGTCACACAACTACGGTTGTTAATCAGTACTGGTGAATTTGTGTGAGAGCTGTTTGTCACTCCAGTGGATATTGTTATGAATTGAACAAATCCATGTGAATGAGGTCATATAAAACATAAAAATGATGTTGCAAGGGCACCATGATCGCATACATAGTCTGTAACTGAGTGAACTTGTCAGGACAAGAAATACTTTGCTCCTCACTGTAACCATGGTAGGTGAATGCCCTCCAAAAAGAGAAATGAAAGGTGTTCCAACAGAAAATTTTTAACTAAGCTAATTGGGGGTTGTGTTGTTTGCCGAAGACAGTGAGCGCTGACAGGTTCACGTATTTATTGTTCTGTAACAATATCCGTACAAATGGAAACTACTGTGAATATGACTGAACATAACGGCTATAGAAAGGGTACCTTTGATTTTGGTGTGTACTGCATCTTCCGTATTTGATTTGCAAACGATTGCTATACTTAAAATTTATACTCCAAGGTTTTAATTGCATTATCTGCACTTTATTTGAATAAGCCAGGTCTTTGTTTTGTCAAAATAATCACTATTTTTCTCGGCTTTTTGACTTTGAACCTCATAGCCCGGAAATTTGACAATCACAATGAATACTGGCAAACGTAATCGGAATTTCAAAGTGATAGTTCATACGAATCGTTATCACATCGGATATCGGGTGTTCAACAATTTGGAAGACTTGATTCGATACTATCAGGCGCACTTTATTTTTACCGACGATCAACAACGATATTTACTAACCCAAGCATTTGTCTACCCGGGCACACCTGAGCTGGAATTGGATCGCTCGGATTATGCGCCCACATTTCGTCCGTATGATGCTGCACATGTCGGATTCACAAGCCCGGGGAACTCGATCGCACGCGGTCGAACACCTCCACCTCCACCACCACTGCCACTGCCACTGCCGCATTACAGTGTTGCCGGTCCTAACCGTTAATCAGTATCCGGATCTTTTTGGGAGTTCTCAGTGTATCCTTCATCTCCCTTCCCGGATCCCGCATAGCCCCATTGTCTCTCTTTTCACTGGTGATACACGACCAGCTCAGGGTTATGTGTTTCAATTGGTGACAATAGCTTCAAAAAGTGGAATATGACTGTTTATACCCTGTTGCCTTACACCTACCTACATCAAGTGCAAATAATCATTTTTAGCAATTATGCATTTTCATACAGCTTATGTTGCAATGATTACTTTTTGGGGTTGTTTCCAGGAGAAAGCGCTGGGAGGGGAGGTGTTCGTTGAAGGCCTAAGCAGACAAATGGAAAAAAGCTATGAGGGGAAAGAAGAACACTAGTGAGGATTAAAATACCTGCTTTCAGGCTTCCATGTAGATGATTGATGACATAAAACTCCATATTATTGTCCACCACTTATTCGTAAACTAATGATTGGTTTTGTTCACCTCATTTTGGTAAAATCCCGTTTAATTTCAAACGTCCAAAGTTCAACGGAATCGAAACAGAATTGATTTGGCTTAGAAGACAAGTAAAATATGAATGGTTCTCTTACTTGTTCACTGATGAATATTGGGATAAAACTATAATGGGAAACGTTGATCGTAACAGAAAGCAAGCTGATTACTGGCTATCACGCGCTCCCCCGTCCCACCAGTCCCGAAAACTAAAACATAACACTTTGCTTCTTGTGAAATGTTTGATATGATATTACACTCCAGTTCGACTAATGAAATCCAAGATAAGCAATGAACGAAATACTATTATAGTCTGTGTACTGTATCAGTTGGGAGTGAAACAATGTTTTGTGTAAGTGTCACGTGGCAGAAATCAATGACCGCTTGGACAACAATAAGGATCAGTGTTTTACTTGTCTGTTGACGTGTTTGCCTCGCATATTCGCAACCAAGTATGTCAGGACAGTGGTTTTGGACGCCAATAAGTGAGTTGAACTATTTGAGAAACTGCCATCCTAGTCATGTCAAACCACGTATGATTGGAGGACACTTTGACGATATTCGACAGAAAATCGTTTGTATATCCGGATCTGAGAGATTGCTTCTGGGAAATGGACCATTTTACAGGGCAATGCATCAATCCATGCCATAACTGAGAGGATTGGTCGAAGAAATATTCTCCTAACCTTTACTGTCTTGGTGGCGATGGTCAATTGATAAGGATCATAAAGATAGTCACCTGGAAGATCCAATCACCTACACACAGCTTATCCATTTCTGTAGTTTCCCAGGCAACTTTTGTATACCCACGGGTCACTTCCCGAAAGTTAAATGTACATTTCTACATTGAAGTAATGGGAGAAGGAAGTAAAACGTCTAGTAATTTTTTATTTAAATCCCTAAGACCATGTAAAAATCAATTTTAAATTCATGTCTATCTGAATGTGACTAAAAATCTATTTACTGTGCCCCAAAAAGGGGGATGATAATCATATCTAGTCTCCATTTGTTGAGGTCAAAGATGGATTACAGATGCAAAACCGCTCATTCAAAGTCTACATTGCAAACACGATGAACACGACGCTTAAAGGGCTGGATGGCACAATGAAGAGCCTAGGGTGGCAAGAACATCATCGGTCTATGTGTATTAGGTGAAATGTGGTTGTAACTAAGAAATGTTTGAATATACCTCTTGATAATATATTTTGCTACTTTAAGAATGACTCCACTAACGTCGAAGGGTCGATTTTGTTCAATTATCTGTCTGTCTATTTCGACTGCTTGAAGAAAAACTCAATTATTCGTCAGTATTTGGAACACCTAGGTCTGATCGTAAGGAGAACCACGAATTTACACCATGCAGTTTTGAGATGAAATATTTTATCGACAACAAAATATTCAATGATGTACAGGTATATCCGTACGCTGTTGTTCAAGAAGTGTTGCAGGAAGGAAGAAGTGGACAGTCAAGAAGCTTCAAAGGACTATAAAGAAAATGAAGAGTCTATGGTGATGGGCTAAGAGCACTGAACTTTTGGAGTGAAGAGTGGGCGGATGTGGGTGGGGGGGGGTGCACTATGGTTAACTAACGGCACTTAACTGCTGCATCTCGTCTCCCCATCTGAAGCAGTTACGTCGAAACAAGGAAAGGGCATACAAAAGCAAAGATCTTCAAAGAGTGAAACTCTTATCTGTTGCTATCAAAGGGGAGCTGCATAGACTAAACGGCATTTGCACTCGTACACTTCTACACAACAAAACCTGCCGGGAAAACTGGGACACCATCAAACAACTGAGTGGTCGATCTTCAATCGTGTCTCGAACAGGAATAGATGTTCAAGAATTAAATAGAACATTCAATACAACTACCAACAAAACGGGAACGGGGACAATCATTATCAGCACAAACATCGACCGCAGCAATGAATAACTCTTTACTATTCGACAACAGGATGTTCTGAAAGAGTTGCTGAAACTCAAACCCAATAAATCGCCCGGTCTCGATAGGTTGGAGGCTGCCATCCTTAAGCAGTGCGCTCACACACTTTCGCCCGTGCGCACAGCTCTGTTTAGCCAGTGCTCACAGCTTTGTTTAACCAGTGTTTGGAAAACGGAATTATACCGGACTGTTGGAAAGCTGCCTCTATCACTCCAGTGCCTAAAAGAGGCACCTCGAAATTCCTTCCCATCACATGCACGTCTGTTGTGTTAAAGCTTTTCAAGAAGTTACTCCTTCAAGGCATGTCATCTCAGCTGAATATGCAGGACCAAAACCAATTTGCATATTATTGCTCTCGCTGCGCACTAGATGGCTTGGCTTCTCTGGTTCCCTACATTCTGTCAGCACTTGATGGAAACAAGAAAGCTGTCAGAATGTGTTTCTTGGATTACAGTGTCGCCTGAAATTGTGTTGACTGATCGATGCTGTTAATTCTTTTGTCTTCCAACGGAATATCACAAACCGTTATTGCAGTACTCACTAACTATTTCATAAATTGATCACAGTTCACACGTGACGTTGGTCGTTTCTCCTCTTCCTTAATTTCTACAATAGGCGTATTACAGGGTGTCAATCTGTCCCCGTTTTTCTTTTCCACTAATATTTCATTCATGCCTACTTTACAAAATTCTCTCATTAAATATGCCAATGATGTTGTGGTCGTAATCCCCCACCCCGATGTATCTGTCACCCCACCCTCCGACTTGGGCTTACTAATCTTACTGAGTGGTCCACCGAGCATAACTTAACTCTCAATCCCTCTAAATGTGTAGACATGCTGTTCTCACTTCACAGAAGGAATCGTTATGCTTATTTCCTGGAATCCCGTCCCACGTTAAACGTAAACGATGATACTATTGTCCAACCCCCAAATGTCAAGTATCTTGGTGTTTTCATTAACCGAAACGTATGCTGGTCTGACCAAGTTGTTTTTGTATTTGGAAAGGCCGAAAAACTATCATTTTATATCTTACGACCGAAAACACTATCCATCCCTCGATTATTGATTAAACGTTTTCTTTTTGCCTGTATATTACTCCTATGATTGTACGGGTCTCCAGTAATCTTTCCAGGGATGCTCAAAAAGGACTTTAAATTGCTTTCCAGGTCAATAACACAATTATCAAGAAATGGCGGGATTTCCCGTGAAATCATATCACCTCATCATTTCCCAACATACAAAGTCATGCTTTTCGTTATCAACAAAAATCATAGACAACCCTTCACCTCCGGTCCCGCTATAGTTGTATATTTGCTCGGTCTGCTGTGGTGCCCTACCTTGCCCGTTTTCTTGTCAGCCCAGAACGCATTGGTTCGAAACTTAAATCAGTTATCTCGTAAATTGTTTCCTTTTTCATTGCTTACGATAATAATTCAGTTATAATTTTGTTCGATAATTGTTGGTTGACTATGTGACTGCTGAATATTCATCTTTCGGGGTGCATAAAAGAAATACTTGACCTGACTTGATTTGATAGTTCTATTAACTGAAAAGGAATTACCGAATGAGATGGGCACAATATCAAACGAATGCTCCGTTTGATGAAAGTTAGTACCCGCTTAGGTTGTAATGTTGAGGACAAAGTCTGTCATCCAGCATCTCCAGTAATTGATCGGTTTTTGTTTAAACTTAATATCTGAGAAGTCGAGTATAACTCTTCCCACTGATGGATGTTTTGGTGCCGCCATGCCACCAGTAAAACAAAATGTAAAATTGCATCGAAGCAAACTTTACAAACATGGATGCCTAGACCCTTTGTGATTTATACGATTCAAACGAATATCATAACAAACGGCTGAGAATGTTCAATCACCAGAACTATTGTTTGTTTTGTCGTTGCCTCTACCTGTTTGTATTGCGTTGCACATTGTGAAAGACGTGACTGAACTGTGATATTTGGCGCCCAGGAAATTCTCCCTCCAAGGCACACGTTTTTCATTTCTATGTTTTCCGTAATTATATCAGAATGTTTAGCACGCACTTAAGGTAGAACGATTAAGAAGCTGATGGAACTAACTTAAATGCATGCATGCATCGAAAATCGCCGAAAACACCAGAAAATAGAAGAAGCTTTACTTATGAGTACTCAGAGAATTTAAGCCAAAAATATCACTTGACCATAATCCATCAAAACTGATGCATGTACAAGCTGTTTGGTAGGTTTTGATTACAAAAGGCTTAATTGAAATTCCAGGAGTGAAGTTTATCAATGTTTGCTCATACAAGATCCGATAGCACCTCTATCAATTGGGCTTGAAAAACCTTTGGAATAGTGAAGTAGATAAATCGTCTATTAAAACATCTCAAAACTCTACGGTCGCAATACAATTTGGGCTGTTAACTTCGACGTTGACGCATCGATTACTGATCACAACTCACCACTATGGAATCGTAAATATCTAACTGTCACACCACGCATTGTCTGGATGTTATAATTGGGTTAAAGTTACTGCTTTTGGAATAGTAGTAAATTCTTTCTATTGTGCAGTTCAGCAGTTTCGCACGTCTGATGTTACAATTCAATG